CGTCGCCAATTTGTTATGACCCGCCTGGTACTTGAAATCCTGTGGAGCGTATGCGCACTCGACCCTTGTCCCCAATACCAACGCGGCAGAGAAGGGGAACGCAACCAGCCACGAAAATGTGTATTAGGAAATTGCAAGTCAAAATTAACTGGAAGTAACGCATATTTATAACGCCCTACTGTGCTTCGCCGGCGTTCGGCACAGTGCCCTTCGGGAAGAACATTCCAGACGAGCCGGTCGATAATTCGAATATGCTGTTCGATCAGGCCCGAGAGGAAAAGCCAATGGAGAGGCGCCACGATTAAGATGACAGCACAGTAGAGAAAACGCACGTGGCCTCCAGTGATTGGCTGGCTCTTGTTTTTGGGAGTGTAGGCATTCCCAACAAACCGGTAGGCTTTAAATAACGAATACAAAGCAGGCACGGGTGTTGCCTGTGAAATGCGTATCAAAGGCCTGAACAGATGCGCATACCTGGAGTTGCTGTCCAAGCTAACATTAAGTTATCGGCATAATTAAAAAACGAAAATTGACATTTCGCTAAACATTTGACGGCTGCACATATTACAGACTGTTATTAGCATCTAGTGCAAACTAAATAGGAACGTGCATGGCGGAGTCGCGTCAACCACATCCCACTCTGCGCAGAACCACGGATAATGCAATTGAGGAAAGTGAAAGAACTGAACTATATCTATCCTACTCACACTTCAGTGATCCTAAGATGGACGTTTTTGGACGGGTTCTCAGGCAATGGAGACTCTTAAGATGTATGTTTGTACATAACCAATGCCAATAGGAAGATTGCATAACCGCATAACCCTATCAATACACAAATTCGCTTCCCTTAAAATTAGAGGGCATGTCGTACCAGACTAGGCGTATATTTAAAGAATGACGCAAAACGATAACCGTCCAACCGTGCGATATACTCAACTTACCTCTCACGACAAAGACGACATATATGTGTGGCGGTGTCTGTGGCAGTTCACTCATATATCAGTCCTCATGTGAGCTTTAACGAGAAGTTATTACTAATCTCATGATTCACGAATTATCAATAAGGTTTCTTCAGACTTCTGTGAACTGTACACTAGCACAGAAGTTCTTTAAGCGCAGGACACTCCTCTTCTTTTGGTGACCACATTTGCGGATTTTACAGTTTACCCTTCATAAGACGTCGTGTCAAAGTTCAAAGTGAGCGGGGACTGAGCAATCGAAACGTACGCGGGAAATGTCATGCACGTTTACGAAAGAAGCGAAAAGGGGAAACAAATGTGCACATGGAAAGCAGTAAATAAAAATTAAATAGATGTTCTTTACTGAACCAAATGCATCATTACATCAAGAAGGTTCGCGTAGAATATGTGTACATTAAGAATATGTAGTCTTCAGAAATTACATTGCTCACTACATTCTAAGAAGTAAGATAAAATTCCTACAGAGACGTACGCATCCGCATATATTTTAAGACTAAGGGTGGAAAATGTGCGTCATCAAACTGCATTCCACTTGTATCACTAGTATTCCACCTGATATAATTATTGCCGTGCTCATGAGCACACACCACCCCTTTATCCGAAAGTCTCAGTTCACACTTTTACATTCGATGCATGCATAATAAGGCGAAAAGAGTCCAAATCGGTGTCCACGACGCGCAGTTCGCTAGTGACCGCATAATAGACTCCCGGCTGACTGGACCTTGCAGTGCTGGGTGCGCATATCTGCCTCCGTGTGTTCAAACTTCGAAGGCAACATTCAACGGTAGGCTTTAAATAATCTATACAGCGCAGTCGCAGATGTTGCCTGTGAAATTTTTATCAAAGGCGTGGACAAATGTTAAAAGCGGGCGGCCGTCCACAATAAGATTAAGTAATATGTCAACGTAATTGAAACTGCAAGTTGAAAGTAGAGTAGATATTCTACGGCGGCACGTAATCTAGACAGCTAGCATTAAAATGGGAAGTAAAATTTGCGACAACGACGCCTAAACCACATCAGACTCTTTGCAGGATCATGGACAATGCGATAAAGGAGAGTGAGAGATGTGAACTAAACCTACCCCAGCTACACTTCGGCGATCTTGAGGTGAACGTTTTGGACGGGATCTCAGGCAATGGAGACACTCAAGATGCATGTTTGTACAAACCCAATGGTAATATAAAGATTGCATAACCGCATAACCCTATCAGCACACATACATTCGCTCCCCTTGAAGTGTGAGGGCTTGTTGCACCAGACTAGGCGTCTATTCAGTGGATGACGCAGAACGATAAACTCGACTTACGTCTCAAGACAAAAGCGACATGCATGTGGCAGTGCCTGTGGCAGTTCACTCATATCTCGTTCTACGTGACCTTTAACGGTAGTTATTACTAGTCTGACAGTTCACAAATTTTTAATGAGGTTTTCCCAGACGTATGTGAAGTGTACACAAGCACAGCAGTTCTTCACGCGCAATACGCTCCTGTTCCTTTGGTGACCAGTTTTGCGAATGAACAAACTAGTATAAAATTAGTGGCATCGTGTATACAAACACGTAAGCTCGCCCACTCTTAATTTTACCCTTCTTATTCAATCTGTCTCAGACATATGTACAATGCCAATTGAGAGGGGCCCTTGCAACCATGATCTCATCCGGTATGGCTATGACAGGGAGACGGGCAAATGCAAGAAATTCTCATATGGCGGTTGCGGTGGCAATGAGAACATTTTCCTCACGCAAACTGGCTGTGAGAGAAGCACACTGAGATGTTCATCCAATGGTAGGCGAAACCGTATTTTTCTGTCTTCTCCGGGTGTTTGCAGAGCATAGTTTTGTCATACTATGGAAAAGTATAGATTCTGATATTGAAATACTTTTCTTTTTGACCGACTGCGATGTCCGCACTCTCTTCTACATGACTGCTTAAGCTGAATACTGTTGATTTATTGCGGCTCTGCATGCGTAAATATTTTTGTCCAAAACACGCAAAAATATATTCTTTTCTGTACATATTTGGCCGCAAATCACGTACTCTTAAGTTTCTTGCATGTTGAAATATGAATTTGTACTCCGAAAATTTTAGTGTTCGTGAGATGCTTTAAGAAGTTGCAAATAACAACGCGTCTGTCTGAGAAACAATGCATTTCATGGTGGCTATCGTAAACGCCGTGCAGCTTAATCAACAACTTGTTACATTTTTTCTATTATTGGTTTTGTTAGGTGTAGTGTTGCTGACGGATATTTCGAGTTTGTGGTGTTTTGCGGACCGTTGCGGTTATATTTTGCGATTAGGCGTGCGCCTTACTTTGCATTAGGGTTAAGGTTTGGATTATTTTTTAGGGTTTGGGCTCTGGTAAGAATTAGTGTTTAAGGTTAGGATGTGGGGCTAGGGTTAGGAGTTGGCGTTAGAGTAAGCGTCTACGAGTATGACTTAGGGTTGATTTTACGGTTGGGTCTTGATTTTAGTAAGAATGTGGGCTTATGTCTAGGGCTTGGACAGTGGGCTTTAGAATAAGGTAAGCATTTATTGTTAGAAACAACAAAGCGAGCGGATAAAGGTCATTTCAGTTCAGTTCAGTTTATCGAGGGAAATGTAGGTCTTCCCATTTGAACTCCCTATTTGTTTACAAGCAACTGCAAAATTTCAAAATCTCGAAAAGGTATCATAAAGGAATAAATAATCGGAAAAGCGTCAGGTCTGTACAGAAAAACAAGTTGTCTCGAATTTTCGTGGTACGAGCAGTTGTAGAGCTGTCGTTTCGAGTGCAGCGAAATAAATAATATATCCGGTGACAAAATTTGCATATGTGCATGTCAGTAAGCGTAGGCGATGGGTTGGTACAATAATAAATTCAATTTAAAATGTTACTGAAATAAAGTTAGTAGTATTATAATAACGGACTTTGCGAGGTTACAGAGATCGGGGTGGTTATTTAGTGGACACTGCTACAAAAATCCAGCTTCCTCTTAAAGACCTCGACGGAAGCAGACATAACGATATCCACAGGCAGGGCATTCCAGGCTTCTAGCACTCTGTTGGAGAAGAAGAACTTTCGTGTGTCCAGTCTGGCCCCTGTCACACGTAGTTTGAATGGATGGCCTCGTAGATTTGTGGTGGTTGCTAACACGAAGAAGTCCCCCGGTACGAGGCTGCAGTCCTGACCGCGTATGATACGGAAGGCTTGTATCAGGTCACCCCGTAAATACCTGTAACTCAAGGGAAAAAGATCAAGGTTAGCTAACCGCGTTGCATATGGTAGTGAACTCTGTCCTGCCACAAGTTTCGTTGCACGCCTTTGAACCCTTTCAAGGATGCTGAGGTCCTTCGCGGTCCAGGGTCTCCAAGCTTGGATAGCAAATCCTAGTTGCGGAAGCACAAAAGTTCGAAAGACTTTAGCAAAGCAGTCTTCATCAAAGGCAGAGAAAGCCCGCTTGACAAAGGTATAGGACTGACACTGCAGACTTGGCTATCTTCGTGCAGTGCAGCGTGGGTTTTAGCGAGGTCGTAATCCATACTATCAAGTCCTTCTGCGAGTCCAATTCTTGCAGTGCTATACCGTTTAGGCAGTAGGCCAAATGGTTCGGAGAGCGAGCTCTGCCGACTGGTAGAATATTGCACTTTTTCTCGTTGAATGGCAGAAGCCAGGCCTTTTACCACTGTTGGAGTCGGTTTAGGTTCGCCTGCAGATGTTCTTCGTCATCTGCAGTTCGAATGACGCTCCAGAACTTAATGTTATCCGACACCACAATCCAGTCCACTCACGCAATCGTTGACGTAAATGATGAACAAAGTAGGACCAAGAACTGAGCCTTGGGGAACACCGCTTTCAACGGCAACCTCCGTCGACTTCTGGCCACCGACATGGACAGTTTGAAAACGGTCTAATAGGAAGCTTTGAATCCATTTTAAGAGGTTACCCCTAACGCCTGTTCGGCTCAGTTTGTGCAGGAGTCGCTGATGTGGGACACTATCAAATGCGTTTAAAGTCGATATAGACTACATGCAGCGCATTGCCTTCATCAACTGACCGAGTCTAACGTGCCAAACAGTCACGCAAGACCTGCCACTACGAAACCCATGCTGCGCATCAGATAATAAATTATGCTGCTCTATGAAGCGCATCAGCTCTCGCTTGATTATTTTCTCCATGAGTTTGCAGCAGATGGAGGTGAGGCTAATTGGCCTATAATTGTTTGCAGAGGCCTTGCTGCCTCCTTTATGCAGTAGTGTGATCCGCGCACTGACTTCTTACACCATTTGTCTACGGCTTGCGTCTGCTTGGTCACTTTCATGGGCGGTTTAGTTTTGATAAACTTGGCAGATGAATCACTATTGTACTTATTGGAGTCGGTTTCTGCTAGTAACTTAGAGAGGATTTTTGTATCATGGGTTGGTTATGCTGGGATTTAACACATTAAAACATACTTGCATATATTTTTAGTACGGCCATTTTTTCTTAGTTTTCGCACGCTGTTCCTCGTCTTACCGTAGCCTCACCCGTAAGCCCCTGTTAATTTGACGTACATATTACTATTGTTCTTAGTGGAGTTGGTTATAGCTAGTACCTTAGAGAGAATTTTTGTATCATGTGCTGGTTATGCTGCGATTTAACATATTAAAAGAAATTTGCATATTTTTATATACATCCGCTTTTTTCTTAGTTTTCGCACACCCATCCGTCTCTTACCGTAGATCCACCCGTAAGCTTCTGTTACCACAGTTCCCGTATTTAAACCCGTTTCCCAGTAGGATCGCGTTTCCGAGTTCTGACCTTCTCATCCGGCATAATACATAGTCTAGATTCGCTCTAAAATGTTGTGAGTTCCTTATGGCATTTACTTAATAGCATAGAGTAATGGGTGCTTCCCGCTACACGGAAATTACCCAGCAACTAAACTGAAAACCCTAAACCAAGTGCAACGGCAGATGGAGATTAACATTACTATAGAATTGAAAAAAATGCTTTTGAAAGCGACAGATATCCCCTTTGGGGTATGAAATTTAGGGTAGACTTCACTTGCGCTAAGAGGAGCAGGAGAATAACTATTTTTATAAACTTTTGCTTAAGGGTATATTTGAATTTTTAAGGGCATGGAAAGTTAACGAAAACATTCCGGCTGTGTAAGCAGTCATTTTTTCTATTGGCATCAATGTGGTCGGTCGAGAAGTAATGTATTTTAGGACCGAATCATAGTTTATCTGTGATATCACAACATTATGCTGCACTAAAATCAATATTACAACGTATTACTCGTAATTGAAAACACGTCGAAAATTCGGTTTAACTTTTTATGATTATTCGCTGGGTTTAAATGCTTAACTGCGTAAAACAGCCCACAAATAGTGCTGTGGGATCGGTTAAGATCCAAAATAAACAGTGAGGCTCGCACGCTTACTTAATTTATATATAAATATAGGCGCTCCAGAATTGTGAGCCAGGCCATGCGGCAATAATTGTCGACCTTAATCCTCTAACACAAACGCCAGATGATGATTTCTAAAGCAGAAGATTGAGAACATATGAAGATAATTAAAATAAATGATATCGTCACCCTGCCCGCCGACAAGAGACGTCCGAATCTCGTCATGGATAAGGTTCAGAACTGCACAAATCTAAGCAACCTCTTGCTGTAAAAGAAAGCTTAAGCGCTACCGACTGTGAGCGAGTTTAAAAAGCTCGTAAACAGCATAAACCATACAATAGGCAAGCTGAGGAAGGCGGGAGCTCTTACGACAAGGGAAGCGTTGACGGAAAATGTCAGTGATGCAGCGATGGCGCGCTTCTACGGCCTACCAAAGGTTCACAAGAAGGGGGTGCCGCTACGACCCATCGTTTCTTGACGTGGTACCCCAAACTTTGGGCTGTTAAAGTGGCACTACAGGCGACTTTGTTTCCTTAATAAGGATTCGGAGTGGACAGTGAAATCGGCTGAAAAGTTCTTGACGCGCATCAAACATCACGATGTGGAGGCAGATGAGGTGATGGTGTCATCTGACGTGGTCTCATTATTAACCTCCGTCCCACTTGCGCTGGCTATCGACACTATTGATGGCATTCTTCAGTCAAAGTATGATGATACCGACCAACAGCTCAAACGAGCACACATCATCGAGCTCATAGAACTGTGTCTTAAGACCTTCTTGACATTCGACGGCCAAGTCTACGAGAAAAAGAAGGGGACACCGATGGGCTCGCCTCTGTCTGGACAAAGTGCTGAAGGAATTTTACAGAGGCTCAAACAGCTAATCTTCAGCTAGTACCCCCCAAATTTCTGGGCCAGATACGTCGAAGACACGTTCGTTGTAATCAAAATGAGCGAGGGAAAGGCTTTCAAGGCATTGTTGAACTCAATCTTTCCCGACACTCAGTTTACTATGGAAGAGAAAACCAAAAATCAGTTGATCTTCCTAAACGTATAAGTTACGAGACTGACAGACGGGAGGATAAGGACAACAGTTTATCGTAAGGCAACAAATACTAAGCTCATCCTCCAATTCCGAAGCAGCCACACTGTTGGTCATAAACGCAGTTGTGTAATAACTCTCTTTCAACGTGTTCAAACACACCAACTTGCAATCAACCGCAAGGACAAGCTGTCGTTGGTCTATTGCCACATACGAGAGATGAACCACGATTTTTTCTTTGAGAATGCGAGGGTAATTGGTCAACCCAATGAGAAGATGGCCAGACTAATGTTCGAAAGTTGGTCCTTGACTAGCACAATCAACCGAGCTGTAGATCTACATCCCGCCTACCAGGCGCTGCGTACAAGGCTCGGATCAGTCCGGACAGGATCAATAAGGCAAACGGGCACGCGGGACCGACAGTCAACGCCCACGGAAAAGAGCGGAGTTCGGGGCCAAAGGTCCTGTGACCAAAGCCGAACACTGTCTCACCGATGCGCCCGCGAAGCTGAATGATGCTCACCTGAACAGCAATAACCGATCAGTCCGCCGGCTGACGTGGGAGAGACCAAGCGACACGTTGATTTGACTACAATTACGCCGACCCCAGAGGAAAAATAGGTCACGCACGCCTGTCAGCGGTCAGCCCTGGGGAGGTCTGAACCAGTCAGCGCAAACAGGCAAATCAAAGTTCCTGCGTCGAGCACGGCTATAATACGAGGCAAGCTGCAAGACTGAACAACACAATAATCGGCATAAGCCACAAGTACGCTAATCTGATTATGGAAACAAGGAAGTTTCCGAAACGTCAGATCTAATAAAATATGATCCATGAATTCACCCTATCTTGTTTTTCGTCGTCAGATAAATATATTTATTAGATATTTAAGGCTCACCGATGGTGGTGATATTGCCAGTAGCATTAACCATTAGAACGGAAGTGGGGACTCATGTTTAATGGCTGACCTGACAGATTAAGTTGTATTTGTCGCAGGCTGCAATGTCTTGAATTCTCTGCTTCATTTCGAGTCACATTTTGAAATGTGACTCTGAGATTGGTCCTTTACTGTTGTCCTACGTGGAAGTTATGCCGCACTTTACAAAGGCATGTTAAGGTAAATTACCCTTTACTGACAACTGGCCTTCTCTTACTGCCGGTCAGATCTGTACTGATTTTAAATTAGTCAGAGCTTATCAGTCGATCATTCGTCATGTGCGTCAGTGACGAGCGGCTACTGGTCGTTTCGCAGGGGCACATGTGTCAATCATGTTTCATTCGGTAAACCGACTTGTTATTACCCATCCCTTTTTGGAAGAGTTCGAGAATTCAACAATTTTCCTAACTTTAACCACACTCATTGGCGCATTATGTAAAAATCGCACTGCTAACCAGGATTTATTTTATTCAAGCCTCCGTGGATATATGCAATATTCCCATTAAGAAGGGACGCTGCAGAGCCAGTCTTGAGCGATACGGATATAACAATGAGACGGGAGAATGCAGGAAATTTATATATGGCGGCTGCGATGGAAATGAAAACAATTTTCATTCAAAGAAGGAATGTGAAATGGCCTCCCGACAGTGCTCATCCAATGGTACATCGATTATATTACTTTATATCTTTTCAGCAGTATTATTTCCGTACTTAGGGTAGGTAATCTTACTCATAAAATGTGTCGCAAATTAAAAATTATTGCCAGTCACTGGCAGACCGATACCAACGCATGAATCTAATATCGATGTTATTTAAGTACAACTTTAAGATAATTAAAAACATAAAAGAAATATTAAAGGCGGTATTGCGGTGCTTTGAAATGCCCATTTTTTAGAAAGGACACAAGTCGTTGTAATTGAGTAGACTTTGTTTTAAGGTGCACAGAGCGGTTCTAATAAAAACACATCAGCAACTTTGAAAGCACAAATAGAATAATATTAAAAAATAGTGTTTTAGTGAAGTTACAATCGACATTTCCTTCACGAATTAGCGTAAATGTATGCATGGCGGTATTCCAACAGCCCTACAGTCTGAGCATTGATTCCAAAACAATTTTCTGTGGATTTGTGGTATTCCTGATGCATAGGTGCCTCTCGTTTATTAGCCCCGCAGATGTTCACATTTACGCTTGAACTCGATTTCGTCAACGTACTGGCTACAACTCGCCTCGTCCTGAAATTCAGCAGCGACGATAGACAAAACAAGGCGAAAGTAGATTTTAACAGTTTACCCTTCATAAGGCGTCGTTTCAAAGTTCAAAGTGAGCGACGATTGTCCAATCGCCTAATGTCTAGCGAACACCACGTATGAGGGAAATGTCATGCACGTTTATCAAAGGAGCCCAAACGTGAAACAAAAGTGCGAATTGAGAGCAGTAAATCAAAAAGTAAAAATGTCCTTTACTGAGCTAAATGCATCACTATATCAGGAAGGTTCGCACATAAAATGTGTAATTTAGAGATATGTGGACTTCAAAAATGATATAACTCGCTGCTTTACACGAAGTAAGATAAAATTCCTACGGAAACATACGCATTCGCAAATATTTTGAGACCAGGAGAGGAAACTATGTGCCGTAATATCGACTTACTAGCAACCCATCCGGTATCATTATTGCCGTGCTCATGACAGCACACCAGTCCTTCATTCGAAAACAGCAGTTCACATTAATACATTGTAGCATGAATAATAAAACGAAAAGAGACCAAACCGGTGTGTACAATGCTCAGTTCGTTAGTGACCGCGTAATGAACTCCCGGCTGACTGGGCCTTGCAGCGCTGGGTGCACATATATAACTGCGTGTGTTCAAACATCGAAAAGAAAATGAACCGTGTTATGACCCGCCTGGTAATTGAAATCCTGTGAAGCGTATGCGCACCCGACCCTTGTCCCCAATACCAACGCGGCAGAGAAGGAGAACGCAACCGGCCACTAAAATGTGTATTTGGAAATTGCAAGTCAAAATTAACTGGAAGTAACGCATTTTTATAACGCCCTACTGTGCTTCGCCGGCGTTCGGCACAGTGCCCTTCGGGAAGAACATTCGAGACGAACCGGTCGATAATTTGAATATGCTGATCGATCAGGCCCGAGAGGAAAAGCCAATGGAGAGGCACCACGATTAAGATGACAGCGCAGTAGAGAAAACGCACGTGGCCTCCCGTGATTTGCTGGCTCTTGTTTTTGGGAGTGTAGGCACTCCCAACAAACCGGTAGGCTTTAAATAACGAATACAACACAGGCACGGGTGTTGCCTGTGAAATGTGTATCAAAGGCGTGAACAGATACGCATACCTGGAGTTGCTGTCCAAGCTAACATTAACTTATCGACGTAATTGAAAAACGAAAATTGACATTACGCTAAACATTTGACGGCTGCACGTATTACAGACTGTTATTAGCATCTAGTGCAAAGTAAAAAGGAACGTGCATGGCGGAGTCGCGTCAACCACATCCCACTCTGCGCAGAACCACGGATAATGCAGTTGAGGAAAGTGAAAGAACTGAACTATATCTATCCTACTCACACTTCAGTGATCCTAAGATGGACGTTTTTTGACGGGTTCTCAGGCAATGGAGACTCTTAAGATGTATGTTTGTACAAAACCAATGCTAATATGAAGATTGCATAACCGCATAACCCTATCAATACACAAATTCGCTTCCCTTAAAATTAGAGGGCATGTCGTACCAGACTAGGCGTATATTTAAAGAATGACGCAAAACGATAACCGTCCAACCGTGCGATATACTCAACTTACCTCTCACGACAAAGACGACATATATGTGTGGCGGTGTCTGTGGCAGTTCACTCATATATCAGTCCACATGTGAGTTTTAACGAGAAGTTATTACTAATCTCATGATTCACGAATTATCAATAAGGTTTCTTCAGACTTCTGTGAAGTGTACACTAGCACAGAAGTTCTTTAAGCGCAGGACACTCCTGTTCTTGTGGTGACCACATTTGCGAATGTTACAGTTTACCCTTCATAAGACGTCGTGTCAAAGTTCAAAGTGAGCGGGGACTGTGCAATCGCAACGTACGTGAGAAATGTCATGCACGCTTATTAAAGGAATACAAACGGGAAACAAATATGCAAATTGCAAGCAGTAAATCAAAATTAAAAAGATGTTCTTTACTGAACCAAATGCATCATTACATCACGAAGGTTCGCGTAGAATATGTGTACATTAAGAATATGTAGACTTCAGAAATTACACTGCTCACTACATTCTAAGAAGTAAGATAAAATTCCTACAGAGACGTACGCATCCGCATATATTTTGAGACTAAGGGTGGAAAATGTGCGTCATCAAACTGCCTTCCACTTGTATCACTAGTATTCCATCTGGTATAATTATTGCCGTGCTCATGAGCACACACCAGCCCTTTATCCGAAAGTCTCAGTTCACACTTTTACATTCGATGCATGCATAATAAGGCGAAAAGAGTCCAAATCGGTGTCCACGACGCTCAGTTCGTTAGTGACCGCATATTGGACTCCCGACTGACTGGGCATTGCAGCGCTGGGCGCGTACATCCGGCTCCGTGTGCTCAAACTTCGAAACGAACATTAAACGGTAGGCTTTTAATAAGCAATACAACGCAGTCACGGATGTTGCCTGTGAAATGTGTATCAGAGGCGTGGACAAATGTGAAAAGTGGGCGGCCGTCCACAATAAGATTAAGTAATTTGTCAACGTAATTGAAACCGCAAGTTTAAAGTATACTAGATATTCTACAGCGGCACGTAATCTAGAGAGCTAGCAGTAAAATGGGAAGTAACATTTCTGGCAACGACGCGTCAACCACATCACACTCTTCGCAGAATCATGGACAATGCGATAAAGGAGAGTGAGAGATCTGAACTAAACCTACCCCACCTACACTTCGGCGATCATGAGGTGAACGTTTTGGACGTGATCTCGGGCAATGGAGACACTCAAAATGCATGTTTATACAAAATCAATGGTAATATGAAGATTGCATAACCGACTTACCCTATCAGCACACATACATTCGCTCCCCTTGAAGTGAGAGGACTTGTTGCACCAGACTAGGCGTCTATTCAGTGGATGACGCAGAACGATAACCATCCAACAGTACGATAAACTCGACTTACGTCTCAAGACAAAAGCGACATACATGTGGCAGTGCCTGTGGCAGTTCACTCATATCTCGTTCTACGTGACCTTTAACGGTAGTTATTACTAGTCTGACAGTTCACAAATTTTTAATGAGGTTTTCCCAGTCGTATGTGAAGTGTACACAAGCACAGCAGTTCTTCACGCGCAATACGTTCCTGTTCCTTTGGTGACCAGTTTTGCGAATGAACAAACTAGTAGAAAATTAGTGGCATCGTGTATACAAATACGTATGCTCGCCCTCACATAATTTTACCTTTTTTATTCAAGCTGTCTCAGACATTTGTAAAATGCCAATTGAGAGGGGCCCCTGCAACCAAGATCTCATCCGGTATGGCTATGACAGGGAGACGGGCAAATGCAAGAAATTCTCATACGGCGGTTGCGGTGGCAACGATAACATTTTCTTCACGCAAACTGGCTGTGAGAGAAGCACACTGAGATGTTCATCCAATGGTAGGCGAAACAACTTTTCTCTATCTTGTCGTGCTGTTTGCAGAGCATAATTTTGTTATACTACGGAAAAGTATATATTCTGATATTCAAATACTTTTCTTTTCGACCGACTGCGATATTCGCGCTCTGTAATAAATGACTGCTTACCCTGAATACTGTTGATTTATTGCGGCTCTGCATGCGTAACTATTTCTGTCCAAAATACGCAAAAATATATTCTTTTCTGTACATATTTGGCCGTAAATCACGTACTCTTAACTTTTTTGCATGATGAAATGTGAATTTGTACTCCAAAAATGCTAATGTGTTTGAGATGCTTTAAGAAGTTGCAAATAACAACGCGTCTGTCTGAAAAACAATGCTTTTCATGTTAGCTATCGCAAACGCTCTGCAGCTTGATCAACAACTTGGTACCTTTTTACTTTTATTGATTTTGATAGGTGCAGTGTTGCTGGCGGATATTTCGAGATTGTGGTGTTTCGCGGATCGTTTCGGTTATATTTTGCGATTTGGCTTGCGCCTTAAATTACATTAGGGTGAAGGTTTGGCTTAAATTTAAGGGTTTGGGCTCAGGTTAGGATTAGTGTTTAAGGTTAAGATGCGGGGCTAGAGTTAGGAATTGGCGTTAGAGTAAGCGTCTACGAGTAAGACTTAGGGTTGATTTTACGGTTGGGTCTAGATTTTAATAAGAATCTGGGCTTATGTTTAGGGCTTGGACAGTAGGCTTTAGAAAAAGGTAAGCATTTATTTTTAGAAACAAGATAGCCAGCGGATATTGGTCATTTCGCACTGACTTCTTACACCATTTGTTTACGGCTTGCGTCTGCTTGGTCACTTTCATGGGCGGTTTTGTTTTGATAAAATTTGGCAGATGAATCACTATTGTACTTATTGGAGTCGGTTTCTGCTAGTAACTTAGAGACAATTTTTGTATCATGCGTTGGTTATGCTAGAATTTAACACATTAAAACATACTTGCATATATTTTTAGTACGGCCGTTTTTTCTTAGTTTTCGCTCGCTGTTCCTCGTCTTACCGTAGCCTCACCCGTAAGCCCCTGTTACCTTGACGTACATATTACTATTGTTCTTGGTGGAGTTGGTTATAGCTAGTACCTTAGAGGGGATTTTTGAATCATGTGCTGGTTATGCTGGGATTAAACATATTAAAAAAAATTTGCATATTTTTTTATACATCCGCTTTTTTCTTAGTTTTCGCACACCCATCCGTCTCTTACCGTAGATCCACCCGTAAGCTCCTGTTACTATAGTTCCCGTATTTAAACCCGTTTCCCAGTAGAATCGCTTTTCCGAGTTCTGACCTTCTCATCCGGCATAATACTTAGTCTAGATTCGTTCTAAAATGTTGTGAGTTCCTTATGGCATTTACTTAAGAGCATAGAGTAATAGGTGTTTCCCGCTACACGGAAATTACCCAGCCACTAAACTGAAAACCCTGAACCAAGTGCAACGGCAGATGGAGATTAACACTATTATAGGATTGAAAAAATGCTTTTGAAAGCGACAGATATCCCCTTTGGGGTATGAAATTTAGGGTAGACTTGACTTGCGCTAAGAGGAGCAGGAGAATAACTATTTTTATAAACTTTTGCTTAAGGGTATATTTGAATTTTTAAAGACATGGAAAGTAAACGAAAACATTCAGGCTGTGTAAGCAGTCATTTTTCTAGTGGCATCAATGTGGTCGGTCGAGAAGTAATGTATTTTAGGACCGAATCATAGTGTATCTGCGATATCACAACACTATGCTGCAGTCTAATCAATATTACAACGTATTATTCGTAATTGAAAACACGTCGAAAATTCGGTTAAATTTTTTATGATTATTCGCTGAGTTTAAATGCTTAACTGCGTAAAACATCCCACAAATAGTGCTGTGGGATCGGGTAAGATCCAAAATACAACAGTGAGGTTCACACGCTTACTTAATTTATATATATATATATATATATATATCAGCGCGGAGGGACGACAGAGAATGCGGGTAGATTGATACAGCACTGTTTCGGGCTTATTCTGCCTTCATTCAGCCAATCATAACCCGGTGTGCGCCCATTCCTGATTGATAAATACCCGATCTGCAGCGACAGAGAATGGCAGGTGGCAAGGCACTGATGAACTTCTGTTAGATGAAGTGCTTATGACCCATCTGGTAGGCCTCAGTGGTGGACCGACTGCGCCAGGAGCGTCTGTGCGCATGTTTGTGTTTCTGGTCTCAGCTGCTGGTGGTCAGGGTTATGATTGGCTGAATGAAGGCAGAATAAGCCCGAAACAGTGCTGTATCAATCTACCCGCATTCTCTGTCGTCCCTCCTCGCTGCTATTATGACTTGGCCGACTTCGGCCTGGTAATTGGTTGCCTGTTCATGACCTTTGTCACACATACGGAGCTTGTTTGCTTTGTGAAGCCAGCAGATCGGTGTGCGCCCATTCCTCATTGATATATATATATATATAGGCGCTCCAGAATTGTGAGCCAGGCCATGCGACAATAATTGTCGACCTTAATCCTCTAACACAAACGCCAGATGATGATTTCCAAAGCAGAAGATTGAGAGCATATGAAGATAATTAAAATAAATGATATCGTCACCCTGCCCGCGGACAAGGGACGTCCGACTCTCGTCATGGATAAGGTTGAGAACTGCACAAATCTAAGCATCCTCTTGCTGGATAAGAAAGCTTATGCGCTATCGACTGTGAGCGAGTTTAAAAAGCTCGTAAACAGCATAAACCATACAATAGGCAAGCTGAGGAAGGCGGGAGCTCTTACGACAAGGGAAGCGTTGACGGAAAATGTCAGTGATGCAGCGATGGCGCGCTTCTACGGCCTACCAAAGGTTCACAAGAAGGGGGTGCCGCTACGACCCATCGTCTCCTGACGTGGTACCCCAAACTTTAGGCTGTTAAAGTGGCACTACAGGCGACTTTGTTTCCTTAATAAGGATTCGGAGTTGACAGTGAAATCGGCTGAAGAGTTCTTGACGACAATCGAACATCACGATGTGGAGGCAGATGAGATGATGGTGTCATCTGACGTGGTCTCATTATTAACCTCCGTCCCACTCGCGCTGGCTATCGACACTATTGATGGCTTTCTCCTGGCAAAGTATGATGATACCGACCAACAGCGCTGACGAGCACACATCATCAAGCTCATAGAACTGTGTCTTAAGACCTTCTTGACATTCGACGGCCAAGTCTACGAGGAAAAGAAGGGGACACCGATGGGCTCGCCTCTGTCTGGACTAAATGCTGAAGGAATTTTACAGAGGCTCAAACAGCTGATCTTCAGCTAGTACCCCCAAAGCTCTGGGCCAGATACGTCGAAGACGCGTTCGTTGTAATCAAAACGAGCGAGGGAACGGCTTTCAAGTCATTGTTGAACTCAATATTTACCGACATTCAGTTTACTATGGAAGAGAAAATCAAAAGTCAGTTGATCTTCCTAAACGTATAAGTTACGAGATTGACAGACGGGAGGATAAGGACAACAGTTTATCGTAAGGCAACAAATACTAGGCTCATCCTCCAATTCCGAAGCAACCACCCTGTTGGCCATAAACGCAGTTGTGTAATAACTCTCTTTCAACGTGTTCAAACGCACTGTAGCGACGTCAGTGGGGGGAAAGGGGGGCCGAATTAATACAGGCTCGTTTTAAAGCCAACGGCTACCCGAAGTCCTTCATACGCAATTGCCACAAAAAAGCCTCATTTTGGACGGTTGAGTGGAGAAAAGCCCAATTTCTGGCCCTCAATACCCTATGTGAAGAACTATCAGAGCCGACGGCGAGATTCCTGAAGCCTTTTGGGATTGACGTGGCTCATAAACCAGAACGCACCATCAGACGCAAATCATGAAGCCCAAAGAACCGCTACCGAATACATAACAGTCGGCGGGGGTCAACAGTGTACCATGCCTGAATTGCAATGCGAGGTATGTTGGCGAAACGGGCAAACGCCTCGGTACAAGACTGCACGAACACCCACTTGCAATCAACCGCAAGGACAAGCTGACGTTGGTATATTGCCACATACGAGCGATGAATCACGATTTTTTCTTTGAGAATGCGAGGGTAATTGGTCAACCCAATGTGAAGATGGCCAGATTAATGCTCGAAAGTTGGTCCTTGACTAGCACAATCAACCGAGCTGTAGATCTACATCCCGCCTACCAGGCGCTGCGTACAAGGCTCGAATCAGTCCGAACAGGATCAATAAGGCAAATGGGCACGCGGGACCGACAGTCAACGCCCACGGAAAAGAGCGGAGTTGGGGGAGAGAGGTCATGTTTCCAAAGCCGAACACTGTTTCACATATGCGCCCGCGAAGCTGAATGATGCTCACCTGAGCAGCAATGACCGATCAGTCCACCGGCTGACGTGGGCGAGACCAAGCGACACGTTGATTTGACTACAATTACGCCGACCCCAAAGGAAAAATAGGTCACGCACGCCTGTCAGCGGTCAGCCCTGGGGAGGTCTGAACCAGTAAACGCAAACAGGCAAATCAAAGTTCCTGCGTCGAGCACGGCTATAATACGAGGCAAGCTGCAAGACTTAACAACACAATAATCGGCATTAGCCACAAGTACGCTAATCTGATGATGGAAACAAGGAAGTTTCCGAAACGTCAGATCTAATAAAATATGATCCATGAATTCACCCTATCTTGTTTTTCGTCGTCAGATAAATATATTTATTAGATATTTAAGGCTCACCGATGGTGGTGATATTGCCTGTAGCATTAACCATTAGAACGGAATCGCTGACCTGACAGATTAAGATGTATTTGTCGCAGGCTGCAATGTCTTGAATTCTCCGCTTCATTTCGAGTCACATTTTGAAATGTGGATCTGAGATGGGTCTTTTACTGTTGTCCAACGTGGAAGTTATGCCGCACTTTACAAAGGCATGTTAAGGTAAATTACCCTTTACTGACAACTGGCCTTCTCTTACTGCCGGTCAGATCTGTACTGATTTTAAATTAGTCAGAGCTCATCAGTCGATCATTCGTCATGTGCGTCAGTGACGAGCGGCTACTGGTCGTTTCGCAGGGGCACATGTGTCAATCATGTTTCATTCGGTAAACCGACTTGTTATTACCCATCCCTTTTTGGAAGAGTTCGAGAATTCAACAATTTTCCTAACTTTAACCACACTCATTGGCGCATTATGTAAAAATCGCACTGCTAACCAGGATTTATTTTATTCAAGTCTCCGTGGATATATGCAATATTCCCATTAAGAAGGGACGCTGCAGAGCCAGTCTTGAGCGATACGGATATAACAATGAGACGGGAGAATGCAGGAAATTTATATATGGCGGCTGCGATGGAAATGAAAACAATTTTCATTCAAAGAAGGAATGTGAAATGGCCTCCCGACAGTGCTCATCCAATGGTACATCGATTATATTACTTTATATCTTTTCAGCAGTATTATTTCCGTACTTAGGGTAGGTAATCTTACTCATAAAATGTGTCGCAAATTAAAAATTATTGCCAGTCACTGGCAGACCGATACCAACGCATGAATCTAATATCGATGTTATTTAAGTACAACTTTAAGATAATTAAAAACATAAAAGAAATATTAAAGGCGGTATTGCGGTGCTTTGAAATGCCCATTTTTTAGAAAGGACACAAGTCGTTGTAATTGAGTAGACTTTGTTTTAAGGTGTACAGAGCGGTTCTCATAAATACCCCTCAGTAACTTTGAAAGCACAAATAGAATAAGATTTAAAAATAGTGTTTTAGTGAAGTTACCATCTACATTTCCTTTACGAATTAGCGTAAATGTATGCATGGCGGATTTCCAACAGCCTACAGTCTGAGTATTGATTCCAAAACAGTCTTCTGTGGATTTGTGGTATTCCTGATGCATAGGTGCCTCTCGTTTATTTGCCCCGCAGATGTTCACATTTACGCTTGAACTCGATTTCGTCAACGTACTGGCTACAACTCGCCTCGTCCTAAAATTCAGCAGCGACGATAGGCGAAACAAGGCGAAAGTAGTTTTTAACAGTTTACCCTTCATAAGACGTCTTTTCAAAGTTCAAAGTGAGCGACGATTGTCCAATCATCTAATGTCTGGCGAACACCACGTATGAGGGAAATGTCATGCCCGTTTATCAAAGGAGCCCAAACGTGAAACAAACGTGCGAATTGAGAGCAGTTAATCAAAAAGTAAAAATGTCCTTTACTGAGCTAAATGCATCAATATATCAGGAAGGTTCGCATATAAAACGTGTAATTTAAGGATATGTGGACTTCAAAAATTGTATAACTCGCTGCTTTACACGAAGTCAGATAAAATTCCTACAGAAACATACGCATCCGCAACTATTTTGAGACCAAGAGAGGAAACTGTATGCCGTAAAAGAGATTTACTAGCAACCCATCTGGTATCATTATTGCCGTGCTCATGACAGCACACCAGTCTTTCATTCGAAAACAGCAGTTCACACTAATACATTGTAGCATGAATAATAAAACGAAAAGAGACCAAATCGGTGTCTGCAATGCTCAGTTCGTTAGAGACCGCGAAATGAACTCCCGGCTGACTGGGCCTTGCAGCGCTGGGTGCACATATATAACTGCGTGTGTTCAAACATCGAAAGGAAAATTAACCGTGATATGACCCGCCTGGAACTTGAAATCCTGTGGAGCGTATGCGCACTCGACCCTTGTCCTCAATACCAACGCGGCAGAGAAGGGGAACGCAAACGGCCACGAAAATGTGTATTAGGAAATTGCAAGTCAAAATTAACTGGAAGTAACGCATATTTATAACGCCCTACTGTGCTTCGCCGGCGTTCGGCCCAGTGCCCTTCGGGAAGAACATTCGAGACGAGCCGGTCGATAATTTGAATATGCTAACCAATCAGGCCCGAGAGGAAAAGCCAATGGAGAGGCGCCACGATTAAGATAACAGCGCAGTAGAGAAAATGCACGTGGCCTCCCGCGATTGGCTGGCTCTTGTTTTTGGGAGTGTAGGCGCTCCCAACACCTCCCCTCCAAGTAGGTCAGTACCGCTTCTGGCGTGGGTTGACCTGCATCAGACGTGTTGAGCGGCGCACGCGGTTGGTCCGGCGTCTTAGCCGTGGTTTAATGCCTGGAGATACGGGAGCGGTAACTGATACCGAAGATGGTATATCCGAAGGGGGCGCAGAAGTGGATTCGGGAACCGACTGATCTGCCGGAATGGCGAAGGTATCCAGTAGGATGTCGAGAGAGAGTGACGGCGCCGAATCGAGCCCAGTTGCGTTACTGCAATGTCGCCGTCGGATCTGGTTGTGGTGGCGAACCCAGATGTCATCACCAACGTCGACATCAAACAACATACTGCCTCTGTGCGATACTACGGTTGCTTCAATCCAGTCTGGGAACCCCGCTCGATAATCACGAACGAAGACAGGTGTTCCGATGGAGAGCTTGCTGCGAGAAACTGGAGAAGTCTGCGCGGGCTGCGCACCGGTAGGGACGAGGGCATGAAACGTTGTACGCAGTTTTCGGCCCATCAAAGCTTCGGCAGAAGAAACGCCACCAGGGGACGCCGGAATCTGTGTTGTCCTGTATGTGAGATGACGGCACCAACTCCGTGGTTGGAAGCATCTGCAGCAACAACGATCGGCAGCGTCGGGTCGTAGTGCGTGAGCAGCAGATCTGAACTCAGCATCGACTTTAGCTGTGCGAAGGTCTTTTCACAGTTGGGGGGACCAGCACCAAGGAGCATCCTTCTGCAGCAGATGGTTGAGCGGGGCCCGTACGTCATGCAGCGATGGTAGGAAGGCGCTATAGTAAATGATCAGGCCAAGGGACGAACGAAGTTGCAATGCATTCTTGGGTGCAGTCATCCGTTGGATGGCCCGAATGTTTTCAGGATCTGGATGGCGACAAATGACGTCAAAAACAAATCCAACGTACTTGATTGAGTCGAGGAAGAAGTGGCACTTGTCGGCTGGTAGGCGAAAGCCATATTCCTGCACGCGTTCGAGTACTGCGCACACTCGGTCTTACAGCTCGGCAGGGGAGCGATGCACGATGATGATGTCGTCCAGGTACCCAGATGTGCCAGGGACGCCGGAGAGCATTGCGTTCATCGTTTGTTGGAATAGGGCCGGGGCGGTCTTGACACCGAAGGGCAGCCTGATGTATTGGAACAGACCACGGTGGGTATTGATGGTCAACAATTCGCACGACTCTGGGTGACCACGGTCTGCAGATACGCATCAGCGAGATCCAACTTGGCAAACCAAGTGCCACCATTCAGCAGGGTGAAACGATCAGCCGGAACCGGTAGTGGATAGCAAGGGACTGAGAGAATTACCAACGGACTGGGGTTTGGGCTTGCGTTTTGGCCGGAAACGGTGCCTGGAATTAGGAGTGGCGGGGGCAGGCTTGCCTCCAGAAGCTAGTACTGATTAGCAAACCCCATCACGGTGTCCCACCTGATTATAGCTTTGGCAGCGATGCTGGTGGAAAGTGCAATCCCGGTGGAAATGCCACGCGACACAGTGCCGACAAGGAGATGGCGGAGATCTCGCCCTGGACACTTGTTTGGGTCGTGTAACAGGATGCGATTTGGTCGATGTGACCGAGTGGACTGAGAAAGATAAGACAGGGTTCTGAATCATTGCAGAGTCGTGCTTGAGAGTGATCAGCGTTTGGCACTCTGCTGCCAGCTCTTGGAGTGTGATTGAGTTGCTCTGCTGCAGTTTGGACAGGAGACGTGTCCGGATATCGGCAATCTTGGGGGACTGGAGGCCGCAGATAAATACAAGGCATTTAAACTGTTCTTCAGTAAGAGGACCGAGTTGAAAACGCCCACACTCACAATTGACAATGCCCGCATACGTGATAAAATCATCGGAATCGCGTTTGCACAGCTGCAGGCACTGAAATCGAGTGTTGAAAAGGGATGATTGATCACCAAAAATCTGCGACAACGTCATAACCGTGTCCTTGAAAGCGACTTCTCGGGGATACTTGGGGAGGATGAAGTTTGCATAACGCTCGTATTCAGCCGGACCCTTTTTGCGAAGTAGGAGTCGAACCTTCCATGCATCGTCCTGGGCAGCCAGATCGACAGAGAACAAGTCCTCGTATCGTTTATACCAGGAATCAAAGGTGATATGGGCCTGCGGGTCATACAAGAATTCAGTGATGCTGCCGGCAATGTGATCAACAGATTGCGAACCACCTGCCGTGCTTGGTTGACCCATGGACGAGTTGGACAGCTTAACGGTGAGTGCTTCCATTAGCTTCAGCTGCTGCTGCAACATCTGCTTCAAGTCTGCGTACTCGTCAGCCATTGTAGTTGAAAAACTGCGTCGCCAATTTGTTATGACCCGCCTGGTACTTGAAATCCTGTGGAGCGTATGCGCACTCGACCCTTGTCCCCAATACCAACGCGGCAGAGAAGGGGAACGCAACCAGCCACGAAAATGTGTATTAGGAAATTGCAAGTCAACATTAACTGGAAGTAACGCATTATTATAACGCCCTACTGTGCTTCGCCGGCGTTCGTCCCAGTGCCCTTCGGGAAGAACATTCGAGACGAACCGGTCGATAATTTGAATATGCTGATCGATCAGGCCCGAGAGGAAAAACCAATGGAGAGGCGCCACGATTAAGATGACAGCGCAGTAGAGAAAACGCACGTGGCCTCCCGTGATTGGCTGGCTCTGGTTTTTGGGAGTGTAGGCACTCCCAACAAACCGGTAGGCTTTAAATAACGAATACAACACAGGCACGGGTGTTGCCTGTGAAATGTGTATCAAAGGCCTGGACAGATACGCATACCTGGAGTTGCTGCCCAAGCTAACATTAAGTTATCGACGTAATTGAAAAACGAAAATTGACATTACGCTAAATATTTGACGGCGGCACGTATTACAGACTGTTATTAGCATCTAGTGCAAAGTAAAAAGGAACGTGCATGGCGGAGTCGCGTCAACCACATCCCACTCTGCGCAGAACCACGGATAATGCAATTGAGGAAAGTGAAAGAACTGAACTATATCTATCCTACTCACACTTCAGTGATCCTAAGATGGACGTTTTTTGACGGGTTCTCAGGCAATGGAGACTCTTAAGATGTATGTTTGTACAAAACCAATGCTAATATGAAGATTGCATAACCGCATAACCCTATCAATACACAAATTCGCTTCCCTTAAAATTAGAGGGCATGTCGTACCAGACTAGGCGTATATTTAAAGAATGACGCAAAACGATAACCGTCCAACCGTGCGATATACTCAACTTACCTCTCACGACAAAGACGACATATATGTGTGGCGGTGTCTGTGGCAGTTCACTCATATATCAGTCCTCATGTGAGCTTTAACGAGAAGTTATAACTAATCTCGTGGTTCACGAATTATCAATAAGGTTTCTTCAGACTTCTGTGAAGTGTACACTAGCGCAGAAGTTCTTTAAGCGCAGGACACTCCCGTTCTTGTGGTGACCACATTTGCGAATTTTACAGTTTACCCTTCATAAGACGTCGTGTCAAAGTTCAAAGTGAGCGGGGACTGTGCAATCGCAACGTACGTGAGAAATGTCATGCACGTTTATTAAAGGAGCACAAACGGGAAAAAAATGTGCAAATTGAAAGCAGTAAATCAAAATTAAAAAGATGTTCTTTATTGAACCAAATCCATTATTACATCACGAAGGTTCGCGTAGAATATGTGTACATTAAGAATATGTAGACTTCAGAAATTACACTGCTCACTACATTCTAAGAAGTAAGATAAAATTCCTACAGAGACGTACGCATCCGCATATATTTTGAGACTAAGGATGGAAAATGTGCATCATCAAACTGCATTCCACTTACATCACTAGTATTCCATCTGGTATAATTATTGCCGTACTCATGAGTACATTCCAGCCCTTTATCCGAAAGCCTCAGTTCACACTTTTACATTTGATGCATGCATAATAAGGCGAAAAGAGTCCAAATCGGTGTCCACGACGCTCAGTTCGTTAGTGACCGCATATTGGACTCCCGACTGACTGGGCATTGCAGCGCTGGGCGCGTACATCCGGCTCCGTGTGCTCAAACTTCGAAACGAACATTAAACGGTAGGCTTTTAATAAGCAATACAACGCAGTCACGGATGTTGCCTGTGAAATTTGTATCCGAGGCTTGGACAAATGTGAAAAGTGGGCGGCCGTCCACAAAAAGATTAAGTAATTTGTCAACGTAATTGAAACCGCAAGTTGAAAGTATACTAGATATTCTACAGCGGCACGTAATCTAGAGAGCTAGCAGTAAAATGGGAAGTAAAATTTGTGACAACGACGCCTAAACCACATCAGACTCTTTGCAGAATCATGGACAATGCGATAAAGGAGAGTGAGAGATCTGAACTAAACCTACCCCACCTACACTTCAGCAATCTTGAGGTGAACGTTTTGGACGGGATCTCAGGCAATGGAGACACTCAAGATGCATGTTTGTACAAAACCAATGGTAATATGAAGATTGCATAACCGCCTAACCCTATATGCACACATACATTCGCTCCCCCCTTGAAGTGAGAGGGCTTGCTGCACCAGACTAGGCGTCTATTCAGTGGATGACGCAGAACGATAACCGTCCAACAGTACGATAAACTCGACTGACGTTTCAAGACAAAAGCAACATACATGTGGCAGTGTCTGTGGCAGTTCACTCATATCTCGTCCTACCTTACCTTTAACAGTAGTTATTACTAATCTTACAATTCACGAATTTTTAATGAGGTTTTCCCAGACGTATGTGAAGAGTACACAAGCACAGCAGTTCTTCACGCGCAATACGCTCCTGTTCTTTGGTGACCAGTTTTGCGAATGAACAAACTAGTATAAAATTAGTGGCATCGTGTATACAAATACGTATGCTCGCCCTCACATAATTTTACCTTTTTATTCAAGCTGTCTCAGACATATGTAAAATGCCAATTGAGAGGGGCCCCTGCAACCAAGATCTCATCCGGTATGGCTATGACATGGAGACGGGCAAATGCAAGAAATTCTCATACGGCGGTTGCGGTGGCAATGATAACATTTTCTTCACACAAACTGGCTGTGAGAGAAGCACACTGAGATGCTCATCCAATGGTAGGCGAAACAACTTTTCTCTATCTTGTCGTGCTGTTTGCAGAGCATACGTTTGTTGTACTTCAGAAACTTCTAGACTCTGATATTCGAATTCTTTGGTAGACCACAATGGCTGGCGAACAACTTTTTCATATCATCCCCTATTTTTTTATTGCGCTTTTTCAATGCAACATGTAACCATTAATTGTGAATTCGCATACGTCACGGGCTTTGATCTAAACCCTTCGAGTCACTTGACTGGATTTTTTTGTTCGGCCGTCTTTGGCTTGATCACATAGTACGTAATGCATCTTACCTTCCATCCGATTTCGGTTGCGTTGGGAGACACCGTCGTCCCGTTGTGCCATGGAGCTCAATCTCGAGCCTCATCATCAAACACTCAGTAGGTGGTACAGTAGAACGACTGACACTGCCGGTAAAGTCCAAGGTGTTTGGAGGGAGAATTTCTGGTTTACTAGTCGTCATCAGCTAGAATTCCGCAAGGCCAGGTTTTGTAAACCCCGAGGCTCGATGCCGCGATATGCTGGACATTCATTATCCCACGCCGAGCCATTTAGCTACGACAAGTTCACATGTCGGTCGACATTGGTAATATGAACTACGGTAGAATGGCTGTCAGTGATCAGGTTACAGTACATGCCTTCCTGCTGTTTCTTCGGACTCAAGCGAAAGACCGCGTAAGAAAGCAAATTGAGAATTGTTAAATTTGCTGCAAAGAGGGTGTTGACAAAGAGGAGCGACATGTGAATTTTTATTTATGATTTATTGACAGTCGGTAGCCTAGCATGTGTTATCCCAGGTCGTCCAGAACTGATATTTTATTATTAGTTAGCACAGCACCTGATATCTATGCGACTGTAACAAAGGACCCTAAATGGAATCCCAATTTTTTTTGGAATAAGGACGTGCTACAACCCCCTAGGCGACCGTCTTTAAGTGCAGTCTCTGCCAAGTGGCAGTAGAAATGGGAGACATGTCTCGCTTGTATCGGCAATTCGCAGGCGTTCATGGAATCATCCATAGCGACAAAATCGTGGATAGCATTAGGTGCTAATGCAGAAGTAACTGCAAGAACAGCTGGCACTGGAGCGCATTTCCTTGGCTGATTTTTTGTCTTGAGACCCTAATGTTGGATATGCAGGACCGCAGTTGACGAAGACTGGACACCATAAGCCGAGAGCGACTGACGGAAATGCTCATAGATCCGAGCGAAAAAAATTCAAATGTGGAATGGTTGGGTCCCCAAGTTTCGAGTATGACAGTCTGATCAGGAAACCGTTGTCGGAAGTAGATTTTAAATTGTCGTCTGTACTTTTCTTTGGCAAATTGGCACTAGTCCCGTTCGGATGTCACTAACGACGCCGTTGTCTCTTCAATCAGTTCATTTGACACACATCTGTCTTTCTGTCCGTGGGAGGTGCACTTCATTGTGGTCAATGAAAAGTACCTAAATTGTGATTGGCAATACTGACTCGAAATTGCCCTAGTTTATCTTTCTATGAGTGTGGGTAAACCTCAGTGCGACACATTGGAAGACGAGTCGGTGTAAAAAATGTCAAACTGTGAAAGGATTTAAATAGATTTTCTCAAAGTGTTAACAGAAGTACGGCTTTTTCCTCAACAAAAGTGCAATGTTCGTGTGCAAAATGCGCCCGTGTCGAATCGTTATTTGGGATCGTGAATCTAACGCCGATTTTGCAGTTTATTCACGAATGTTCACTACTTGACGTGCCTGAGGGACTGCACACTGAAAGATCTCGTTTAGTCACGTCGACGTCTTAAGTAACACGCTCTTCCCATAAGCACTGTTTAGGAAATAAACACTTTCCATAAACTAACTTGAAAAACTTGACCTAACATGTGTGGGCCTCCCTTAAAAATCGAATTTTGTTTACTTTCCAGGCACTTTTGATGTGTGCAAAATGTCGATCAGGAGAGGGCACTGTAGAGGAAGATTTGATCGATATGGCTATGACAAGAAGATCGGCAAATGCAGGCGGTTCAAATACACTGGCTGCGGAGGAAATGATAACAACTTCCATTCACAAAAAGAATGTGAACTCGTTGCAGCGGGATGCCCAGAGCAGGGTACGTAAGTTGAGAAAGCCAGATCAAATGATTCTACTGGTTTGTGGTGACCGTAATATCTGCTTTCTAATTTAGTTCAGTATGCAGTCACGCTGCAGTGCTCACTTTAATA